TGCTCGCATTTAGGTTCTTGAATTCAATACAGTCTTGCATTGAGGTGTTTAATGTATTTAAAGCTGGAACAAACACATTGGAAGCTGTGTTTCTTGGGAGCTCAAGTGCTGCATTTACTGGGAAGAAAAAAATCCACACAAAGCAAATTGCCAAGGTTTAGCTGCTCCATTTACAATAATAGCGTGTGTACATTCGTTTAGCCGTGTGGTGGTGGCTTTTCCTTTATAAGGTGGGGGGCGGAGAGTGTTAAGCTACTGTGTGTTGAGCTTGATGGGATGCTACTGAAAGGTACAGTATTCCTTTTCAGCCTGCTCACGATAAGAAAGAAGTGGCTTGTGGTATGAACCCTAAAATAAACACTTAACACTTCACGTCTGTACAGCTGAGCCCTGGATTGCTATTTACTTCTTGTTTCCAGATTGAGTTAGGGTTAAAAAGAAAATCCAGTTTAGCTATGCTGCTTCCAGAAACCTGCAGCCGGTGCTTATCCCCAGACTGTCTTTGGTGAGGGGAGAGGCTGATGGCCACCTGTCCCTGTGCTTGCTTGCAGCCCTGCTTCCTGCAGCCTGAATCCCGTGCTGGCCTTTTCCCGCTTGCTTGTGTAGAGCAATGCTGTGCTGCTGTGGGCTCTGGGGGCAGGCAGAAGGGAAGGCTCCTGCATGTCCCCACGAGCTGTCGGCCCAGCTTGCAGCCCTCTTGGGCAGGGGATCCTACACACTGTCTTCTGCTGCACCCTCCTGTTCGGTCCCTCCACATTGTGACCCCTTTGCCATGTGCTTTTGTTTGGCTGTGGTGTATTGGCCTGACTTGACTTCTAGGGTGGTGTTCAGCTTCCCTCCTGCCTTCACCAGGGCTGGTGAGACCCTCCGCTCCACCCCAGCAGGGCAGACTGCTGAGATCACCAGGCTCATGCACATGGTTGTGCCCTTTGTCTGCTCTGGGGCTCTCGATGGTACGGCACCATCTGCAGCACGGTGGTGGGAGCAAGCCTGGTCCTGGGTCTGCATGCATCCCTGGAGCAGGCTGAGGACAGCAGCTGCAGAGTGGAATGTCTGCAGCGACGTGCATAGGGGCAGCAAAGCTGTTTGCAGAGTGCTGCAGCTGGGGACGGCTGGAGGTTGGTGGCACCTCACCCCTGCAGTTGGCAGCGTGGCTCCGCTGCCCCAGCTCTGTGTGCCTGCATCCCACCTGCAGCTTCTGTGGGGCTCGGGGCCGCGCTGCTGACCTGGTTGGAAATGGGGTACTGCATCTTTCAGGAGCTCCCGTGTACTTTTGACCGTCTTCACTGTATACTCTCCAGTGACTTGTATTTTCAAGCTTGGTGTTGTGAGATGCATTATCATGATTCTTCCGTTGCCCTTTTTTAAAGACAAAAAAAGAAAAAAAAAAAAAAAAGACAAAAAAAGAAAAAAGGAAAAAAAAAACAGCCAACCAAAACCGACCTATTTTGAGAGCTCCTGCGTTAACCAGAGTAATTTCTCTTCCCACTGTCCCCTGCAGTGTCATTGCTTGTTGACTTGCTGGTTTCCTTTTTTAGAGATACAAACTGAGTATGAGGGTTTTTTTGAAACTATTTAAGAGATTGAGGAGAAATGTTTACCTGAGCTGTATTCTGGTTTTTCTTAACCCCTCTCCCTGTCTCAGCCCAAGTTAGCGTTTACATTTGCAACCACAGCCCTTTCAGATGCAGTTTTCACCCATTCTGAAACCAGCGGGGTACACTTAGGGTTCTTAGTAGTTTTCTTAGCTGAAGTCCCAGATGTTTTCCTTTTTTTTTTCTTCAGTATAATTTACCAGAGAGAATTAACTGATGCATTTTTGTGTTGTCTTCCCCTTCAGTAGTTATATTTTGTCTTTTCTGCACATCTGTCTACTAATAAAAAATGTGAAATGAAAATACCCCTGTACGGTCACATCGCTGTTACTTGAGCTTTTCTGTTTGCATGGGTTTTCTTAAAGCTTTGAGCCACCACCACCCGCGCTCTGCGTTGGGCGTCTCTATGCAGCGCATACAGCACAGGTAAGGGGTGCAAGAACACCGGGCCTGCTGTGCAGTGTGAGCAGCAGAACAATGTCCCAAAACCAGAGCGAAGGGAGAGAGCAAGTTGAGTGAGTCTGGGCTCAGAGGGCTGCAGTGGGAAGCAGCAGTGGTGCAGGGCTGCTGCTGGCACTGCACACTGCAGCAGCACAGGACAGGGCTGGAGTGCTAGGCTGCAGCCATGCAGGGGTCCCATGCAGGGAGCTGAATTCCCAGAGGTGCTGGTGGAGGGGCTGTGCCCAACCCATCCAGCAGGAGGTGGAACAGTAAATGCGGCACAAGTCTGGGCACTTGTGGTGCTGGGAGAGCTTTTTTTCCCCATCACTGGTGGCCAAGTGCAAGCAGCGGAAAGCTGCGACGTAAGCAGGTTGCTGCCAAAGTGGTACCTCCTGCTTATTTCCATGGAGATGGCAACGGATGCAGAGCGCACGGTAACACTATTCGATAGAGCAAGTTCTAAGCTGCGAAACACAACACGCAAACTTCTCAGCAATACTCATCACCGTGAGCTCTGCATTTTTGCCAGAGATGAACAAGAACCAAGCTGTGCTGTAAAAATCTGCACCAGCAGAGGTGACCGTTTGTCACTGCTGAATGCACCACCCACTGCCTCGCTGTGCGCACAGCCGCGTTTGGTCTCCATAAACATTCAGCAAACATCATTGAATGCCAGCGGGTGGTTGTGTTTTCTCTTTTAATCTAGACAGGCTGAGCGCTGCGCCCAGGGGAACCTCGTGAGGCTCAGCACATCCAAGCGCGAGGCGTCGCACCCGGGTCGTGGCAACCCCCGCTGCCAGTACGAGCCGGGGGACGTAGGGACAGAGCACGGCCCTGCCGGAAAGGACCTGGGGGTGCCGGGGGATGGCAGCCGGGCGTGAGCCAGCAGTGTGCCCTGCGGCCCAGGCAGCCGGCCGGATCCTGGGCTGCATCCGAAGCAGCGCGGCCAGCGGGGCGAGGGAGGGGATCCTGCCCCTCTGCTCTGCGCTGTGACACCGCACCTGGAGCGCCGCGTCCACAGCTGGAGTGCTCAGCACAGCAGAGACGGGGGCCTGCTGGAGAGCGTCCAGAGGAGGGCCGCACGAATGGTCAGGATGGAGCAGCTCCCTGTGAGGACGGGCTGAGAGCTGGGGCTGTGCAGCCTGGGCAAGAGGAGGCTGAGCGACAGCTGAGGGCGGCCTGTGTCTAATGGGGGCTGTAAGAAAGGTGGGGACAGGCCCTTTAGCAGTGTCTGCTGTGACAGGACAAGGAGAAATGATTTCACACTAAAAGAGGGGAGATTTGGGCTGGATATAAGGAAGGTTTTTATAATCAGGGCGGTGAGGCACTGGAACAGGTTGCCCACGCAAATGGTGGATGCCTGCTCCTGGAGACACTCAAGGTCAGCTGGTGGAGCTCTGAGCTGTGGGTGTCCCCGCTCATTGCAGGGGAGTTGGACCATAAATCTTAATCTCCCACCTCAAACAATTCTGTGATATTTTTCTGCACAGAGGAATAACAAAATAAAAGGTGTTACTTTCAGAGAAGCTGCAGTAAGCAAGGCAACATACTGACACGGCTGGAAGACCTCAGGGCTGAGCACGCCTAAGGCCAGTGCCGGTGCAGCCTCCCTCTTTATTTCATCCATTTGAGCAACCACAGCTACCACAGCAGGAAGTGCATAGAGCTCCATGCCTGCTGCTTGGCCAGATAGAGCTGCACAGTGCCTGCTGCCAGGAGCAGTGCCAAGCTCCCTCCGCCTGCAGCACCTCTGCCCCATGGGCACAAGGCCACGTTCCCTCCTCCCCCTTCCCGTTGCCAGCACCCAAATGGGGCACAGTGAGGGTACAGTGGGCTGCTGTCAGGACGCTGTACCACAGCCCTGCTGCACCAACACAGCCTTCATTCAGCATCCACCGTGTCCCTCCCTGCTAAGCTTTACCAGGAGGGCTGAGAAAATGCACACAGACAGCAGTGATATGATCATAACTTTAATAGGTGGAAGAAAGACTAAGAAAAAATGAAAACTCCTAAACCATCCACTGCACTGTGCAGGACCACAGCACCAGGAGGTGCCATCCAGGTCTTTGTTTAGAAGAAGTGGGGAGGGACAGTGAAGGTCCATCCAGCAGCTCTGGTGCTCCTGGGCAGGGGGCTCAGGGCAAAAAGAGGAAGGAGACACAGTTCAGACTTATATTTAAGAAACTGCTACATAGTTTCTGCCTCACATGATGCAAAGGACGTTGCAGGACACACTGAGCCATCCAAAGTCTCTTGCTCAAGGGAAAAAAAAAAAAGAAAAAAAAAGAAAAAAAAAAACAAAACAAAGGAACAAAAAAAGATATTAAGAAAAAAAAAAAGTCTTCTTTATTATTTATTTTATTTATTTAGAAATTGAAAAAGAAGGTGAGGGCAGAGCTCCTGGCTCAGCGGCACTTTGCTCGCTGTGGTCACTGCAGGAGGGAGGAGGGAGACAAAAGAAAGGGGAGGGCCCACAAAACATCATCATTTCTTTTTTTGTTGTTGTTGTTTGTTTTAAAGTAACAGCTATACGGGGGGCATGGGAGCAAATATCCAACCAACAGGACATGCCTTGATTCTGTTTGAAGGAGCCAGGACTCCTTACCTGCCCGAATTTAGAACTGCATTAAACAAATGGGCTCTCATCAGCTCCACTAAGAATGGTGCAGTTTTATTTTGGACAGAGATAAAAAGCCCACAGAGCTTAAAAAACAAGGAAGGATGCCCTGGTGCAGATGGAAAATGGATAATTAGTTTTCCTACAAAGAATAGAACAGGCTGCAAGATGCAGAAAACCACATTTAGGCTCTATTACATTTACAAATACATACATAAATATATTACATACAACAGCAACTCAAAGAGGAAGCGGGCGAGTCACACAGAGGATGATGGCTGCAGTTCTCCCCGCACAGACATTTGGCTGAGCAGTTACTTCTCCTAATAATTCCAGGAATGGGCTTCGGCTTTTCTTTCTTTCTTTTTTTTTTTTTTTTTTTTTTTTTTTTTTTGCTTTTCTTTCTTTCATTTTTCTCCTTTCATTCTCTCCCCCCTCCCCGGTTTCGGATTTAGTTTGTCCAGTATGGAGAAGTGCCGTAGGCGGTTTTGGTAGCCTGAGACTTTTGCTGCATGGTGCTGGGCTGGTTGCGCTGGCTGGATCCTCCCTAGAAGCAGAAAGGAAGTGACACTGAGGCCATGGAGTGCACCCAGAGAGGGGAAACAGAGCTCTGAGGGGTCTGGAGCACAGGCCTCATGGCGAGTGGCTGAGGGAACTGGGATTGCTCCATCTAGAGAAGTGTCAGGGGAGACCTTATCTCTCCCTTCAACTCCCCAAAAGGAAACCGTGGTGAGGTGGGGGTCGGCCTCTTCTCCCATGTACCAGTGATAGGATGAGGGGGGGATGGCCTCAGCTTGCACCAGGGAAGTGCAGGTTGGATATTAGGAAGCGTTTATTTTCTGACTGTGGTAATGCATTGGCGTGGAGGGTGGTGGTGTCACCGTCCCTGGAGCTCAAGATACATGAAGATACGGCGCTGACGGCTGATGGGGAAGGGCTGGGGTTGGACCAGATGATCTCCATGGTTCTTTCCAACCTCAGTCATTCTGTGACATCAGCATCAGCCATTTGACCCTAGCACCCACAGGCTGCACCTCTCTGTGCTGTACCTGGCCAGGCATGGGGCCACCAGAACAGCAGGGCTGCATAGGGTCCAGGCGCACTCTCAAGGCTAACGCACCAGCCATGGATTCAGAGAGGCCAGTCATTTCCTCTTCGAAGCAGAATGCCTTTTTTTTTTTTTTTTTTCCCCCAGGGAAAATTTATAGTGAGGAAACATTCTGGCTGATGAAACCAAACCAGGAACTGGAACTCTGATGTAATCTGCAAGCAGATGCTTTGCTTTCTCCCTCACTTGCAGTGCAAATGCTCACTCCCACAGAACAGCAGCAGCTCACCCCTCTGCACCCACATCATAACAGCCTCTTCTGAGCAGGACTCACCCCATAGCCCTCACCAGTTCGTTTAACAGCACCAAGCCTGCAGTCTTGCTAGGACACTTTCCCAATGGGAAGAGCAAAAACCAACTAAGTCAGGATAAAGCAAAGATCCCACACCAAGAGGTGGGTGAGCACAATGTGTACTTTGCGAAGGGGCTGGCTCACCTGCCCATCCTGCTGAAGGTGGTGATGCAGCATCTGGGAGTGAGGCTGCTGATGCGCAGGCAAGATATGAAGAAAAGGGGCTGGAGCATAACCCGGGGCAGCACCAGGGTTCAGGGGCCCAGTAGATCCGAGAGCAGAGGGCAGGCTGAAAGGAGGCGGTGTGCCGGCGTGGAATCCCTGCTTGTCAAACGTCTGCACCAACAGGCAAGATGGATATTATCAGAAAGCAGCAGGAGCACACACAGACCAGACAAGAACAAGAGAACACAGATCCCTGTGCCTTTCCTACACCCCATGAGCAGATTAGGCCAAATGCCCACAAGCACTTCAGTAGATGAGTTTCAACCTCTGTTCTCACTCCTATTTCTGCTCTAATGCCTGTAACTTTAAAAAAATATACTTCATTGATTATTGTGTTGCTTTCCCTGACCTCTTTTCATTTAGTGGGACATAGGATTGCAACAGCTGCCTGAAATCAGCTCTTCACAACCTGAGAGGGTCCAGACCACTCAGGGCAGCCTATCAAAAGTATAAGAAATTGCAATAACATTTTCCTTCCTCAGGCCAAAATTCTGCCCCTGATGCTAAGCACATGCCATGGGGCTGCAGTGGTGAGGCCCTGGCACCACTGCCCAGAGCAGCTTTAGATGCCCCATCCCTGGCAGTGCTCAAGGCCAGGTTGCATGGGGCCCTGGGCAGCCTGAGATGGTGGGGTTAACCAGCCTATGGCAGGGGCTGGGTGCTTTTTGAGGTTCCTTCCAAACTAAGCCATTCTGTGATTCTATGATCACAGGTGGACACAGAACATAGTGGTGGACTATGAACATAGGTGAACCCCACTATCTTGGCAGGAAAACAGCTGACTGCCCCCATTGCATACCACAGCTCCTCCAGGCACCTTCTGCATGCACAGCAAGAGCCCCACAGGTGAGCAGAGTAGTGCTGGTACCCATGCAAGAGGCCCTGACACACAGGGGTGGGCACTGCTGATTGATCTCTGGAGAAAAGCAAACATGCTCTTCACTCACCTGTTCTGGGGGCTATTCTTGACTAAAACTAGTGGTGCTACCATGTTCTAGCTGCACAAGGGAACAGAGTGTGAGGTTGCAATGGGACGGGACAGGACAGGGAGCTTTGTGTGTCAGAAGATGATGCCACAGATGGGAGATACTCCTCTCCAGCAGCAAGCACAGCCAGCCCACGGAAAGCCAAAGCCCGCTGCCACCAATCAGCCAGGGACATGCTCCTGGGTGTCAGCATGCTGCTGAGCCACCAGACTGGTTTAAGGCCCCTGGGAGAATGGTCCAGCATTCCTCACCTGAGTCTTGTTATAGACTGAGCCACTGATATCAGGCACACCTGTGTTACTTGAGGTCACAGAAACACCTGGAAAACAAAAAGCCACTGACAGTGAGAAAGCTAAGCAGCAACCAGCCTGAAACCTGTGTGTTTGCTGTGCTGCTGGTGCTGAGGCACCGAAACCTGCAGCCTTTGCCCCATGCACCTTTTGCTCTGCACTCTGAAACCCACGGGAGTGAGAGGAGGGGGACAGCCTCTGCTCCTGCTGTAAAGCAGGAAACCAGCCCACTGGGGGATAGGTCATCCTCTACTACAGCTGGGAATCAAATTCGCTCTAGCTGTGCTGAACACTCATTTAGCTCACAAAACACCAGTTCTCCCCTAGGATTAGGGATGCATTTGGCTCTATCACAGCATTCAGAAGCTTTCCAGTAATGCACTCAGCAGTGAGCCTCTGCATCTGCTACAGGCTTGTGCTCCTGTCCTCACACATCAAACTGAAAAGCGAGGTCTATAACTCTCTTCTGCCCCTTCAAAATTAATATAAGTGACTCAGGCTGCCTTCCACACAGATTAGCTGGTGCCACAGAAGCAGAAACACTCTGTCACCAGCAAGTTGACTGAAATTGCCACTCATTTGTGGGCTTACAAAGACAGAATCTGATGGCTTCACTTGAATCAGTATAAAACCAGTAGTTTCTCCAGCCAATGAACCAGAGGCCCTGACCCAGTGGGTTGGAGCTGCCTTATGCTGCACCATTCCTAGGAGACAGCTCATTTGCAGGCCACTGAGTAGAGCATCACTGGCTTTTAGTTGAAGGCCTGCATACCAACCAGCTGGTGTTTCAGATGCACACAAATGCTTGGTATTTGCTTAAGCCCAAGGATGAACTCGTTAGTGCCAAGCAGTCTGGTATAAATTTCTCAGGTCTAACCAGCATGTGCAGAACAAAGCTGCATACATTCCTTAGTCTTGGCAGTTACAGAGGAAACATTTCCAGGCACGAAACAATGCTGTGAGTTACAGAGCATACGGACAGCAGCTGAAACAACAGCCTGGAGATGTGTGAGCTGCCCCACTCACTGAACACACAGCTAACTCATGTGCCTACCAACAAACCCAAAATCCAAGTCAGCATTTGGCAGGTGACCATTTCAGCAGCAGCACCAGCTGCCTCGTCTTCAGTGACACAGCACTGCTGTGAGACTGCTTATTCTTCACCAAAGACAACTTTGGCAGGGAAAGCAGCTCACCAATTCTCCCATGTGTAACTGAGGACAAAGCTGCACATCAGACACACAGATCCTTACCCAAAGTTCAGGCATTAGGTTTAGGAGGAATTCTTGGGCATTAGGAGAAAAAAGCATTTTGTATACGGGAGATGGAGAAACAGCTTGGATCTTGACCCTCTTTAAAGCTGGCCGCTATGTTGACTGCACAGCACTGGCAATACTGGGAGTCTGCCCTGCTAAATCCCACTCAAGAGCAACCTCAAGTCTCGTGTGTTACCTTTCCCAGGTCCAGTGCCAGCAGATTTGTTTTGTGCTTGAGATGACCCACTGTAGCCTCCTTTGCTGTAATCTCCAGCTGCCGTTCCCTGCGTTAAGTCATCATAGCCTGCCAGTGTGTACAAGACAACGTGTTACAGTGTGCAAGCAGCTCTGCAGATGCTCCAGTGAAAAGCACAGTGATGAGCATACCTGCTCCATAGCCATGCTGCCCATAGCCACTTGCTTGCTGGAAAGGAGTCGAGGCGGTGTTCAGGTTGACTCCGTGCTGCTTTGCTGATGCCGGAGGTACCTGAACAAAAGAGGAAAGGAACAAAAGGCGCTGTTAGCCGGGCGCTAACAGCAAATCCCCTCTGCCACCTAGTGGGGAAGGCACCTCCAGCTCATAGGGAAAGGTAATTTGGAACCGGGAACACCACGATCACATGGGAGGTTGTGCCCACACTGCCAGCAGTAGATTGCTGGAGCAGATCCCTGCAAGCCACAGGCTGCTTGCCATACTGCCCCTGGTCCTGCATCATATGGCTTTTCTTTCTATTGCAACGCAATCACATCTCAGAACAGGCTGCACATTCCTTTCATACATGTAATAAAACTAACCACAGACAACAAATGCTTATCCAGAAACCAAAAATGAGTAACCAAAATGCTCTCCAGAATCAAACAACACACACCAACCAGCTTCCACCTGAGGCTGTTTCATGAAACACAGTCCTACAGTGTCCTCAGGTAGACTCACCTACCGTTCTGCCCAGAGCACAAGATCCTCCCAGATAACTTCCTCCCTCCTGAGACTACCAGTGCTGCTCCACGGCTTCCTGGGGTGTCACTTCCTCTGAAAGTTGTCCTAGGCATTCTCAGCATGCTTGACTCAGCTTTTGGTCTCTGTTTCTCTACAGACTGAGAATTTTCAGGAACACTAAAAATCCATAAGCTGCAGCTGCCTACTACTTACTGTAACCTGTGCCCATGATTTCAGGCCTTTCAAATTTCCTCTTCTCTTGGAGAAGGGGCAGCATTATTTTCTCAAGCTTGAACAAATCTTTTGGAGATCCCTTGCAGGATGGAGAAGGTTTTGCTCTGAGAGTAAAAGCAGAGAGGCACAAAGGGAGAGTTACAGCCACAGCTGTGACACTTACAAACATGGTTGGCCCATACTGGAACGCACTGGGTACACCTGGAACCCCAGCGTAATAAGGCAGCCCAGTGTAGCTGTAGCCTGGTGGCAGGGTCGGGTTGAGGAAGGGCTGCTGAGTGGTGTGATGAGTCTGCGTCTGGTTCTGCTGCGGCTGGGCTAGGGTTGTTGCAGGAGCAGGAGAGGCAGAATCCCCACGGCCAAATTTTGTTACATCACCTGCAAAAGAAAGAACTGATCAGAAGAACGATCAGAGCTTTTGCACGAGGAACTTCGGTGTACAAGTAAACAACTGAAAAAGAAAAAAAAACAACACACATCCTATATTTGAAAGGCTGGGGTTTCCATGGGAAGAGCTCTCCTGTCTCTATTCCTGACAGTGCAGGTATGTCACTCATTTGTGGCACAGAACTCTGTGTTGTGACTAATTCACCAGTAAAATGTAGGCACTAATACCTACCTATTTCACACACACTGAGTAGATTCATCACCATCAGACCGTTGCAACAAAATATGCTAAAAGCAGAAATATGGTAGAAAGCCAAAGTGCAAATGGTTGTTGGGTTAAAGTGTGATTCTCCTAGAGGTTAAACTGATTAGCCAAGCTTCGTGTGCTCAGAGCAAGTTAGGATTTACATGCAGTGATGGGCATATTTTTGTCAACATCTGTTTATTTGTGAAGCATGACTAGTTAGATATCTGGTTCCTCACACCACCAAAGTTCTGGAGACAGTAGCTGAAGGCCAGGAAAACAAGGCTTGCATCGTGGACCACCTTATTGAAGAAGTAGGAAGGGAAATTTGGTTATTAACCCAAAATCAACCTCCCAGGAGAAGTGACTATGATGCATAAAATTTCAAAAAAATATTTCTATTTTCCGACAGCACTCAGAACAGCCTGTTTATGTGTTTGGTTTTGTAACACATCTCCCTTACATCTGTCTCCTCCTGACCAGTATTCCCCTTCATTGGCTGCCAAGAAGCAGGACAAGATTGAATGCCCACATCATAGAAATTATAATTCAGATGGCTACAGCTCTAAGCTGTAATCAGATGGCAGCAGAAGAAAACCACTTGCTAAACATGCTGCAATGTAATCTCTGCACACTGATAAATGAAGAACAAAAAAAAAAATGAGGAAGGGATTCTCAGACCACTTTTGAGAATGAAGCCCATTAGACTAGGAAGAGGGCAGGGGAACAACTGCAATAGACAGCTCCTGGTGGGATTACTGAAATTATAAAGTAGCAATAACTGGGAATAGGGAACTGCTGGGAGGGTTCTGAAAGGGTCTATTCCCCTGCCAAAAGAGGAAAACAAGACAGCAGAATTTCAAGAAAACATATTAAACTACCAGGTATTTTCCAAGCACTTGTATGTGCACGGGAAGGGCACTAGATGACATTGCCATTTACATTTTTAACAATTTTGCACTTGCCCCCAAATACTATCCAACTTTCTCCCAGAAGAGGTCCCGTTTGAATTACCAATCAGATCTATGCAGAAAAATCCACATCAAAATTGTGAGAAGCTTGCTTTTATTTGCCTATTTTGCTTGGGTGAGTGTAATTGCCTACAGAAGGACAGAACAATTGCTCTTTCAGCAACAGCTGGATGACCTGAATTCAAAAACTGGCACATCGCACTTATCTGTCTTTTAACAGCACTCACCTGAGTATGGGTTGTTAGCAAGGCTCCCATCTCTGCCTGTCAAGGTTGCAGGAGCAGGGAATGTAATTCCATAGTAATCCTTAAAAAGATGCAATAGCATTTATAATAGTTGAAACCATAAAAGACCTGAATCGTTCTTACAAATCCTGTCTTCCAAACATAACAATTTAAAAGCAATGAGAAGCTAGAAGGTCAGCTTCTGCTCAAATTTACAACAGAGTTAAAGATTTACCAGGATCCTTGATTTCAAACTAAACCTACTTAATGGACACTTAGTATCACCTGCAAACAATCACTTAATGGTAATTTTACAAGGCTGGATAAAGCTTCTGCCTTTAACCTGCTAAAGCATCTAGGAGGAAGGAAGTTTAGGGCCTGAGACACAAGAAAAGTTGTTATTTTTATTTTCCCTTAAACACAGACTGAGTCTAAGAGGTGGCTGCTGACCACCTCTTCCAAGTGCACAGAGTTGATTACAGCTTCTCAACACCTCCTGCCAGCAGAAAAGCCCTAGAGCTTCTGCCTGTAAAGGTACAGAGGAGCAACATTTCTCACTGAGTATTCACCTCTGCTCAAAGGCAACAACCAAAAGCTCTTCCCTCCCAACCTGCAGCTCAGAGCTGACACCTTTCAGCAGGACTGAGTCTGGAAGAGCAACAGGCCATGCAGGGTGCAAAGACTTGAGGTCAGGCCAGAACCATAATTGCAATGTGGATGCAGCCTAACAGTCTTGAACCTTGTCCTATTCTCTAAAAGAAAAAACATCACCTAGACAAAGAGTACAGATGTATAAGAAAACTGCAGCAAACAGAGCTGACTGAAAAAAAGTATTTAAACTAGATGTTACGGGAGACTTTGGAGTAGAGGTTTCCAAAGTGGAGTGCCCAAGACAATCCCCTGCTGTGTACGTGCTTTCAGTATCAAAAAGGGGGCTGCAGAAAGAAGGGGACAGACTCTTTCGCAGTGTCTACTGTGACAGGACCAGGGAAAACAAAAAGAGAGGAGAAATAGACTGGATATAAAAAAAAAAAATTAAGATAAGGGCAGTGAAGCACTGGAGCAGTGAAGCACTGTCCAAAGATGTGGGGGAGGACCCACCCCTAGAGACAGTCAAGGTCAGGCTGGACCAGTTCTGAGTACCCGATCTAGCTGTAGGTGTCCCTGCTCACTGCAGGGGAGTTGAATCAGACCTTTACAAGTTACTTCCAACTCAATCGTTCTTCAGTTCATAGACTGAAGCTCATAGACTCTATGATGAGACATTCATTGGCCAAAATTAAAATTAATACTGATTTTCAACCAAAAGGGTCCATGATGAAAAATGCTGAAATACAGAGACTATTCTTCTAGGTCTCATACAGAAAGTTAGGACAGCGTTCAGCCTGGCAGGCCTGCACTCCAAAATGACAAGGGCACACTAAAAACAAAGCAGCATTTTGTTTTCAGTTTGGGTGAGGAGTTTCCCTTTCCTGATCTGGGTGAGCTGTGGGGTAGCACACTGTGTAGTGGTTTTCCTTCTAAGTGGATCACTTGTTCCTTGCTATTTCTGATGCACTGAGCTAATGTTTAAACCACTCTTGCACCCATTCCCACACGTTCTCCAACACTCGAAAAGCATCTTTTTTCACAGGTATCTCAGCAAATTCCCTGACAACTCAAATGCTTTCTCAGATTCAACTTTACCTTCCACACTGCTACACTTGTGTGTCACTGCCCCATTTCTTACACACAGTTCTCCACCACTGAACATGAAATAACTCTGCAAAGATTTATTATTGCAAGGTAATTTATTATTACCTTCTGTAACTTGAAACCATCTCTTATTTCTCCATTCTTCATCCATCATCCTCTCCATTCCAAATAATTCCCATCTTATCAACTCCAGCATCACTTAAATTATTATATATATAACATAATATATACATTATATTATTATTATATAATCCAATAACACAATGTTATCGTACTAAACATGCACATGAAGAAGTTGAGTTGAATTTCTTAAAAAAAGCATGACCCCACATAAAGGGAATTCCCATTGGTTGAATCATTGCTGGAAATAGCCCACATGTGGTGACATCTGCATGTGGACCTCTGCCAACTTTCACTATGCAAACAGACTGGCACCTTGAACATCAGCATTCCTGCTAAGGAATATGTTTGCTATATACCGAGTAGCAGGAATTTCTCCAGTAAATGCAAAACATAACAGAAAAAGTAACAAGCAGGATGAACACAGGAATGATTGACAACAAAACCTTCCCAACAATCAGAGATACATATTTCCATAATAAAACAGAAATAACTCAGACGGTGCAGTGGAAAAGACATTAGATTTTGGTAGGCAGGGAAGTGTAGAAATAAAACTTAGAATTCTAAGTCCATGAAAGCAACAAAAGAAAAACTCCAAAGCACACAAAGTGCAGTTGCCTCAAAAGCACCTGCCCCAGTGCTTTCACATCCCGCACTTAAGCACAACAGCCTGGCTGCAGGCCAGCCCACAAGCAGGCACACTAACAGCAGAGTAGACTGCCTCTGCCTCCAGTACACCACGTGGTCTCACCTCGCCAGACTCAATAGAAGCCTGAAGGAAAAAAGCAAATAGAAAGCAAAACTAAAAACGGAAACAAGGGAATTCTCTCTAGATAATGATGAAAAGAAACATGCAACTTCTCATAAAGCTGGCCTCACAGCAACACCCCAAACATCATCATGAAGTTTCACCAGGCTGCTGCCCAGCCCAAGACAAGTCCCACCAAGGCTACGCCTGCAAATCCTCAGTCCCCAGGGATGCGCAGTATCCTACTGCTCCTGCTCCTTCTGCCAGCTCTCACCACTGCCTTCTCGTGCAACCATCTTCGCCATCAGGATGCCAACTTCTCTTGGAAGAGCCTCCAGCTCCTTCAGAATGCGGCTCCACCTCCACCACAGCCTTGCCCACAACAAGATGTGACTTATCCATTTCCAGAAACCCTTCTGGAAAGCAAGGACAAGAAGCAAGCCGCCATCACCACCCTCCACATCCTACAACACCTCTTCAACATACTTGGCAGCCCACACACTCCAACACACTGGATTGACCACGCACGCCACAACCTCCTGAACCAGATCCAGAATTACATCCATCACCTTGAGCAATGCTTCGTAGACAAAGGCACGCGCTCCCAGAAGAGAGGACCTCACAACTCTCACCTCATCATCAACAAATACTTCAGATCCATTCACAACTTTCTCCAGCTCAACAACTACAGTGCTTGCACCTGGGACCATGTTCGCCTCCATGCTCGTGCCTGCTTCCAACACGTGGACACCCTCATACGACAGATGAAAAGTTGAGATCCTCTCACAGCTTTGTCCAAACATCTCAACACCCAGTGACTGTTCTCAGACAACCGCAATGGCCACCCAGCGAGAGGAATGAGACGCAGCAAGGGCTTGGGCAGCCCAGCACCATCTGCTCAGCCTTCCTCCACCCAAAGATCACAGCAGCAGGGAGACAGGCATGACTGAGCCCAACCCACTGGCACCACGTCAAGGCCTGAGTCTGGCTATGGCACCGCCCATCCTGCCAAACGCCTGGCCCACACCACAGCCTGAACTTGTTTGGAATGGAAGAAGGAAGTCTTTGTGATGTTGAACACCTGGGAGACAGTGGGGATAGGATCACCATTTATTTCTGAGGCAGTCCTGCAGACAACTTCCCCTGATGGAGGGGGAAGGTCTCAGTGGACGTCATTGGACTTGCACACGCTGATGACTTGCTATTTATAACAGCACTTTATTTATTTGCCTATTTCTCCCTCATTCTTTTTTTATTATTATTTATTTATATTTATTAATTGGTTCCTTTATTTATTCACCTTTTTTCTGGAAATAAAGACCTGATATTTAAAAAAAAAAGTATCATTCTGTACACACGCATAGACAAAGGCAGGCTTCCTGCCCATAGGCAGAGCTTAGCTTCCCAACAGATCTCGGCTACTGACCATTATCATGGACCACAGGGCTGCAGGAGAGCAGCACATCACCCTATCCACAGACCCCATGCACTTCTCACATGGCAACAAAAGCCCAGTGGTGCACGCCCAACACAACAACATACATTCATTTAGGTTAGAAAAAACCTCTACAAGATCATATACTACCCAACAACCACCAAGTCTACCATTAAACCATAGACATCCAACATTTTGTCTTACCTGGGCCACACTGAGTGAAGACAAATTGCCTCAAGCCAGGTATAACATAAATAATATACACACTGTATATAAGCAACAAAACTTACTTAAAAATAATTTTTACTAAAATGAAAAAAATGTGCAACAAAACTAGTGGGATATCTGACTTTCTTTTTCTGAAACTAATGCACTAGTCCCATTCAATGGAAGTTACTCCAATACTTACTGAGTTCTCAAAATGCTTGTTATATTTTTAATGAAATTTTATTCATCTTATATTTAATCCTTAAAAACAGTTCACAACTGCACATACTGCAAAAAGCAATGACATGAACATACTGTGACTGTGAAATGAGGGATAATTCTATCAGGTAAGACAGGTTTTATAAAGCTTAACACAGAGACACGACAAAACTGTGGAGCAGAATGTCTGATTGCAACTCCATACATTTCAATTTTAGATTACCAGATAATGTATTTATGACAACTGAAAATGCAGATACAGCTACACAGAAAAAATGAAGGCTTTGTTTTTGTTTTGTTTCTTTTTCTTCTTACTTTGTTTCTGTTGCAATCTTGCAACCTATTCTCAAATATCAGGACAAAAAGAAAGGCAGCGTATTGTTCACTACTCACTGGATTATCTTCAGTGAAAATACTGGAATGCAATAAATTTTTTGTCCTAACCTGAGTGACATAGTACTGTGCCCTTTCTATATTCTGGATGCAGCTGAAGCATTGGTAACAGCACACAAAAATTCAACTCTTCCCAAGACTGAGCTCAGGGCTGGGCTGGGCCTCCTGGAGGGAAAGAGCCACTGCCATGATGCTGTGGGGGCAGGGGGGTGGCTGAAGGGCAGACTGGGTTCCCATTCTTCCCAACCCTTCCTGCAAAGAAGTT